AGAGAGAGAGAGAGAAAATAAGATCAGATATATGTAACCCTAGCACCTGATATGATATCTAGGGCTCAATGCAAATAATGAAGATGCATAAGCCATGCCAACATAGAAAGTTTGACAAACCACAATAACATGCAAGGAAGACTCAAAAAATGAGGTGAAGAAAAAAGGGATTAGAGAACAGGCACAATGTCAGAGATAGCCTCGAAAAGAAATTTCTAAAGAGCAAGCCATGTACTCATAGGGCACATGTAAAGGTAGATTACAACTTACAATTGTATAAATAAAAAACTAGCTCTTCTTTATGCGTTAAAACATTGATATGATAACGAACAGGTTGCATATGACCTTAGCTCAAAAACCCAAGTTAATCTGCCACTAATCGTATAAAAAACTTTACAATTATATGAACCAATAAACTACAAAACCCAGCAACCCTCATTAGAAATTCATACGGAAAACAAAAAGAAGTAAGGTGAGGTTGATTGGAATTGTTCAATTACATAAGAACACATAACCAAAATATAATGAATTAAAATCTTGAAAAGAAATACCTTTTCCTGTATCTCTGGATGCATAACAAGCCTCGTAAGTATGCTGCCTATTAAGCCTGCAGCGGTAAAGCATCCATGAAACATCATACCCATGATGTTTCCACAAGACTCCTCACTTAAATCAATGCAGTCATTTAATTCTCCAGGGAATAAGATGCTTGCTACCGTATCTTTAGCAAAAAGCACCTCAGCATTACTATCTGCCATACATCCAGATGTTGTAGTTTCATTCCTGTGATATTGATTAAATGAACCTGATAATTTATGGTGTTGTCTTGACTCTTGAACAATATCCCTAGTTAAGCTCTTTAATTGTGCACATAATTGCTGGTACCTCCAAAAACTCCTCTTCCATAAAGGAGGAATTTTATAAGAAGCCCAAAAACAAGCATCCTTGGCAACCATCATAAGCAGCTCCTCGTAGACCTTCGCGTTGGACCAAACCAAGAATGCATCTCCAAAGAATGCAGATCCAATGATAGAGAATGCCATATGCTGTGAAACCGACCCGCAGTCTAGAGCGCCTTTGAACTTAGCAGAATCAATTCGTTCTGCAATACCATTTGCAACCTTTAGAGAGACATCATGCACTCTCTCGAGCAAGCTGCCATTCAATTCTGTAGATAGGGACTCTCTCCTCTTTTGCACCTGGATATGGTGCATTGCAAGGTCAAAAACAGAGATCCGATGAGCAACAATAGCAAACGATGCCATCCAAACCATTACTTAAGAACACAGAGAATAAATCATTTGATATGAACAAGTGGATCATATATTTTACTCGTCCAATCAGGAGATAGCTACTGATAACACAAAGACAATTCACCTTATGTTTGCAACTAGTATAATCCAATTCCCATAAGAAAGCAAAAAAACAAAAGAAAAAGAAAAAGAACAAAAAGAGTACAAGTAAGTCAACAAACCCCAGAACTAAGCAATCAACACCACTCAAACTTATAATCAAGAATGACAATACCTTCTCAAAGGATGAAACAAACAAATTGGATGGCCCAAAAGCAAGGCGGAATGCCTTTCCTGTCAATGGCAACTTATCCTCAGCTTTTAACAGCATTTCCTTGATCAATTCTGGATCCTTTACAGACACCAAAAGTTGGGTGGGTCCCAACCACAACCTAACAATTGGCCCATACTCCTTATGTGATCTCGAAAGGAACTCTGCAAGCAATTAAAAATAAGCATCATTATAAAATTAAGAATGATACAGCAAAGGGTGGCGAATAGGAGATGCATGAGTCCTTATAAAAACTCAAACTATAGTGAGAGCAGACCTAACTGAAACTCTTGAAAGACCCTTGTACTCTATCTCTTTTTGTTATCATACAGGAAAATAAAAAAAATACAGGCGTATGGATGGCTCCAAAACCCTTTGATAACAGTTAAAATAATAATATGACTCATCAAACAAATACTAACCAAAGGTTAATGTAAATCTCATGAAAAACTATGTATAAAAAAACAAAAGCAAAGACTTGAGATTGTTCATAAATAAATTTCATAGTCTTAAAAAACACTGAGTAATCAGCTGAACCATGAAAACACATTTTTCCTCCAAGTGTTAGCAATGCTTAATGCCTGATGCTTTCAATAGCAAATAAGAACACAAAAACATCAAAACCACAAATAATTCATGGATAAAAGCTTCAACTATTGAATCCATGAAGAACCAAAGCAGTAAATCTAAGATAACCTCTGATGAATCTTAGATTATTCAAAACAAATCCATAAATTCCATTCAATTATTCAGTGAATCGCACATGAATATTCTAATAAACCCTAATACGTGGATAATTTGCACGAAATTGAAGTTAAATCACAATAAAAAGAAACAATAAAATAAACATTAGATGAAGTCCAAAGTAAAGGCATATCATAGGAAAAATAATAAATGATGGGTGAATCTTGTGAACCCTAGCAACCGACCAATATGTGTGAGTGCATGTGTCCATGTGGAAAATGGTTATATGAGAAGACCAGCCTAGATTTACGCCTTAATAGAATTATGATTTTGAGAAAAGTAGGGACCGATAGACCCTACATTATGCGCACAGGCAGGTCCCATTCAGGTGCTTAAAATGGGGAAAAGAAGAAAAAAAGAAGTCAATTTGCAGAAAAAATATTTTTTTGAGGAAATGGTTAACTTTTGTATTTAGAGTAACAAGAATTACATCAAGATGGAACTAAAGATGGCATCCCACAAGTTGGGTGCTCAGACTACAACATTGACAGTTGGAGGGGGGGCGGGGGAATAGAGTATATAAAATAGGGAAAGGAGAGTAAATAACATTGACAAGGAGAGACACGGTTAAGAGTTTTAAAGCAAAAGAGAGGACCCAGAGATGGGTGCTCAGATAATGCAGAATCCACTTACAGAGGTAGGGAGAAGAAAGTAACTACAGTGGTGAATAATTATACTAAGGTTTCGAGCAAAGACGAAAACTAGAGATGAGCAAAACTAAAGACAAACTTGTACTTGAGATGGCTCTAAGGATGGTGCTGCCTCGAGAACGGTGCAGGACTTCAGTAGCTTCGCAATATTTGCACAAAAATTTTGGGTAAACAAACCCCCCTTTCTCTGCTGTCCATTTCATCTCCTCTCATACAATCATGGTGATCCCACATGTACTGTAGTACAGGCCAGTCAGCTCATAGAATATCTCCGTCTATGAACATTCAAAACAAAAAAATATTCTATGTATGTATGTGGGAACCCTACAATTCAATGCGCTGTATCAGAAGTAAATGCCAACAATAATGCACATAAAATGCTATGAAACGATAATTCATGGAGAAATCTTGTAAAGCACTAAATTGTGATTAATTGTGAACATACTATGCATTGCAAAATCATTTAGTTGAAGTGAGCTCGAAAGTTTTTTACTGAATTTGGCAAATAAAACCTGCAAATTGAGCAAATTAACAAAAATCGCAATTTTGGACATCGAAATGGTAAACACTAGAATTTAAACCCAGATCAGTAAATGCAAATCACAGATATATCATAAAAATCATCAATAAAACCATCATCGAGCCTATTAAAGCCCAGATTTCAAAAATCTTAGACAATTCACTGAATGACCAGCATCAAAATAAATCCCAGGTAAGGCAAAACACAGATAATCAGCACATTCCTTTTTCAAACTCCATTTTTTAAATTTTGGCTTTCTCAAAAACCCTAGATTACACAAAACCCTAGAATCTGAACTTACCATTAAGATTTCCAGTCGATCCAGTCCTGGAGAAAAACCTTGAATGGCCATAAAATGAAGGGCATGGAGGACCTGGTATTCTCCGGCCTTTGGACCAAAACCTCAACAATCTGAACACTCTTCTGAGAAGAAGAGTAGTGACAGTGATGAGAGAGACCCATAACAGAGCGTTGACGAGCCTATCTGCGTAGTCCCTGAGAAACTGAGCATTGAGAGCACAGAGACTGTCATTTTTTTGCAGAAGAAACCCTAAAAGAGTGTAAGAAGCCTGGCAGGAGCTCATCTTTCAACCACCATTTCGATACCTTCGAGTAGAAAAAAAATGGCTTGAAAAATTCTGGAATTTTGCTATAAATAGGGCCTGTAAACGAAGATCAGTGAACAAGCATTTGTTCAGTAATTATTAATACAAATAAAGAAAATGAGTGAATACCACCATCTCTTGGGTAAATATGGGAAATAACCTTCGTCTTAAATTTGAAATATGCCACTTTTGCCCTTCAATACTACTGATTCTTGCATTTGACCAAGGACTTGGTTTTCATGCGGCCAACCCTCATGTTGTAAAAATGCAGGCTTGGCAATAAATATAATTTTAAAATATAATTTGATCTTAATTTTTAGAAAATATATAATTTTTAACATCAAAATCATGAATATGAAAAACAAAAAAAAAATAAAAATAGTAATTATGTCAAAAAAACATTTGGACAGTTTAGTTACAATGGTTTTCAGATAGAGCACCTATTTGCATCCATCGTTAAGATGGATGCTTTATATTTATACCTCTGGACCACATATTATAGAAATTTCATCTAGCCAGCGTGAAACGATTTTCCTTTGAGTAATTTAGGTGCAGATACAAAAAAATAGAAAAATACGAAATGGGCCAATTTTGGGTGAAATAAAAGATCGACTCATATTTTTTTATTTTTTTCAAAAATGGTCCTCAATCTGAGAATGTCATTCTCATAACGCTTCTTAATTTATTTATTTTTATTAGTATGGGCAGTGCTCTAGTGTGAGGGGCAGTGCCTAATCCAAAAGGCAGTTTGAGATTGGCATCCTCGGACCGCCACATTTCTTAGCAAACAAATAAGCTAATGCAGGTCCAAGAATGTCAACCTCGGATTAGCATGAAGAGCACCAAAGAAGGCGGTCTGAGAATGGGCAACTTTAATTTTACGAATGTTTCAAATCGCACCACGGCTTTAATAGAGCCATGGCGACCGTCACGGACATGCTATGTCCGTGAAGGTTATAGGCTTCCTGGAGCACCAGGAAGCTTGGGCGAAGGGATCCTACTGCTACAGCTCTAAATAGAGTGGTGGTAACCGTCATGGACATAGCAGGTCTCTGATGGTTTATAGACTTCTTTGTGGATAAGGAAGCCTAGCTGAAGCCGCTACAGCTATGTAAGAGAGCCGTTATGGGAGTAAAAATGTATTTTATGAAAAAAAGCTATATAACATATATAAATGTATTAAACAAAAAATAAAGATAAGTTTGAAATATAGGCAACTATAAGGTATATATCCGATAATTTCCACTTTTTTAAAATTCTTTTGAGATATCACAAAAAGTATTCGATGTCACATGAAATCCCACATTTTCCTTTTAAATATAAACAAATGTATAAGGTAATATGAAAATGTGCATCTCCAAACTATGTCAAAAAATGCAGTTTCAATGCCAGAAACATTTACAATGGCCTCAAAATCCATTTTCCTACTGGACATGAAATTTAAAGTTTAAAAAACTGTCCAAGTTGAGCACTTATGTAGAATATTAAAAATCTTGAAAAATACACTTCGGGTAATATGTTATAATATCCTTGTTTTTAGTACTTTAAATCCTTTTTTTTTTTCTTATCCAACATCTCGAAATCAAGATTATCGATTATCGATTGAGAGTTTTCCAGTGTTAGAATTACCTTTTTTGATGCCCTTTTTAGGCCTCACTTAGTTGAGACCTTATACAAATCTTCCTATTTTAAAATTAAGGAAGGAATATCAAATTACTCACGATAAATGAGTAGTTTAATACCTATGTCTCCTTTGATTTAGTTTCAAATTATCCATAATGATTTTAAGTTAGAATAGTTACAAATGTGTAAAATATAAAATAGTCCATGTCTTAGAACATGTTTGATTTCCGGGAGTTTTTGGAAGTGGAAGTTAAACGCCTTAAAAACTCCCACTTCCATGTTTGAATTCAGGTGGAAGCCACAAAGTGGAAGTGTGGAATTCCACACATACTTTTTTTAAACATGAAAACCTTCCCTTATGTGGAAGCCGCCTCTTCCATAAAAAATGATGGAAGGAGAACCTTCTATATTGCATGAAAGAGGGGCGACTTCCATCTCCCACTTCCACGTACTCCCCATTTTCAAACGCATCCTTAATACTTTTTTTAATAAAGGATATGACTTGTATAAATACTCTACCTTAAACAATCCAAGTAAGACTCGCCTTTAAAACTTCATAAAAGATGTGCTTTTGGTGTTGGAAACTTTACAATATGTTGAAATTTTATTTTCATTTCTAATTGTGAAATTTAAAGCTTTAGAACTTATATTCATTGAGCATGTCTCCAAAGTCTAGGCATTTAAAAAGTTTGAAACTGGACGGTCTAAATAAACAAGATACATTATTTTTAAGACTTTAAATCTATTTTTTTATCCGTATATCTTGAAGTCAAAATAAATCTATATAGGGTTTTTTCGACATCAAAATTGCTTTTTAGGGTGGATTTTCGATATGCATTTATTTATAATGCATAATTTTGCCACTTTATAGAAGCTTTTTCTTTTTATAAATTTCACTAAAATGAATGCACATGTAGTAAGGTACAAGTGACTTTTAAAAGTTTATCTTTATTTGGCATTAAAAAATTTCAAGGGCATCTACATCACTCAAAAATTAGAAAGTCTTCCTTTCCAGCATTTATCCAACCAGGGTTAAAACTGTCAATTTGATATTTTGATTTGGTCATTTGAATTTTGCCACCGATAAATATTCACAATAAATGGGAAAGAAAATCAGTGTCCGAACAAAACGTGTCCAACTTTCAACTGAAACTTCCAATCAGCACCGTCACAGGATACACAAAATCCGGACCGTCCAAACTTTTCGTCATGATCTTACAAGAACTATACACGTGTTAGATAGTAGTTGCTTCTCACCTAATTTCTTTGTTATTTATATATAGTTCTTTCTGTATTTTTAAATTTTAAAAAATGAAAATACACTTTAATTCATGCTATGCTGACACGTGTCCAGTTTACGCTATGTGAAGTGGAGGCACGGCAAGCACGTAGAGTCAATGAAATTAAATATTTTTATATCAATAAATAAATTTTTATCATGAATGTCACATGCAATAATATTTAATAAACATATAGATTTATATTTTCTTATGTTTAATAAAACAAATTTATGACGGTACTATTTCGACTATTATACTGAATTTGGGGGTGTATGGTACCTCAAAAATACGTGGACCCAACTCATGTTATTTAGTTAAGGTAAAGATGAAATTCAAAAAATAATAAATAAATAAAATATCACAAAAAAAAAAAAGTTTTTCAAGTGTTGAAAAACCTTTAAATCGATGAAGTATTAAATTGATCATCTTAGCATGAACATTATGATTGTGAAAAAAAAAATATCTAATTCTAAAAATAGTGTATATTGCAACGAACCATCTTGACCATCCATTTCACCTTAATAATAAGTACTAATATATATGCAACATCTATTCTTAGGTTTTAAAATTTATTGTTAATGTTGAAAATTCATTTTAGAGCCACCATGACGATTTTTACGGCAAAAATACTTTTTGGATTATGATTTGAGGTAAGGTTTTATTTGGTTTTTATAAAGCCCGGGTCCTCAAAACTTCATCCTATTATGCAGTAATTATGAGGCTAGAACTATAATATTGATTAAATTTCAAATAATTTTATGCACACTTGAATTTTGAGTCTCCACCCTTTGGCTCATTATATCATGTCACATGTCGGCCTTTTAAATAGGATGTCGACCTTGAACAGGTCACACGTGGGCGGTTTAAATAGGATGTCGACCTTGAACAATGAAAGAAGGTGCACCACCAAATTCTATTGATAGATGTAGGAGTTTTTGACAATGTTTTGAGATTCGCTTTGGAATTCTTTTTGGTTTAATGAGAAAAATGAAACAATTTGGTGTTTCGGCCGATTCGAGGGAAGATTTCGGATTTTTTTAAAAAAAATTAGTATAAAAAAATTAGATATATATATAATGGAAAAAATTAAAAATAAAAAAGCAAAAAAAATACATTTATATAGATGTTTCTTTGCTGGCCGAAACAGACCCGAAGGATACCGGAAGCAGTCTGAATTTGATCGCAGCATCCCGAATTTGACCGAAACGGCAGCACCGGGCTTCGCTTCTCTTTAGTTTATGCTTAAAATCCGAAGGCTTCGACCTCTTAAGCAGAAGCGAAGCGAAATTGATAACATTGAGTCTTAGTATTAAATTTAAATGTCTATAAATAGTATATATCTAGCTGATTCGTAAAAATCCATACGGTTTAGATAAATTGTTACAAGATACAATATTTTTAGGACCAGAAAATATTTTATTTTATATCTAAATATCTCAAGGTTGAGATGATCAAATTGAGAAATTTTTAGCATCGTAACAACTTCTCTCAATAGGTTTCTTGAAAAATATCTTCATGCACCCTAATTTGATGTAAGATTTCCCAATAGAACCACGTATTTGAAATGTATCCAGCGGCATCGACTTTCTAAACAATCTTTCTAAACCCCTTAGACCAATTGAATCATGTTTTATATAATATTTACATCGCAAACAAATTTCAAAATAACATTGTCTTTCTCACCGTCGCTTTGTACTTTTCCCTCTCTGTCAGTCATACTCCCTCTCTTCCTTCCAACCTCTATCTCGTCCTCCCTCCGATGCCCTCTTTCCCTACACCTTCCTCTCTCTCTCCCTAAATCCAACAACCAAAACGCTCTGGCTTTCTCTTTCTCCCTTCCTCTGCCCTGAACCTCTCTGGTGTTTAATAATGATGCAAACCGGTTTTCATAGCAAAAGCTTCTCTGATAGCCTATAGGTTATGGATTCAGCTTGTACCGCCACTATTGACGAATTTGTATAGCATAATACATATACATCTTTCACGTTAATGTTATAAAAAAACTTCGTCATTCTTTTAGAAATCATGGATATTTTATCATCTTTGGAAAATTAAGGGCAGTTCCATCTTAAATACCCACTGCATGTGCCTTGGAAACCATGGGAGGCTGCTTTCTTGCTCTGCTAAAATTCACTGGTTGTTTGGCTCAGCGCAACTTCCCCAAATTCAACAAAGAAGAAGGTCATAGAGGGAGC